TCTTAAAGGTCTTTTAAAATTTATCAATTGATTTGAATTTTGAAAAAAAAAAACTTATAAAGTAAAAAAATGTTAAAAAAATAGTTGGATTAAACGAAAAGTATCTTTTTGATGAAATATTCGAGAGTTATAAAAAAATTTGTGATTAATCTAAAAGCCCTCTAATAGTAAATACAAATAATTTCATAATAATATTTAATAATACTTGAAGTTAATAAAAATTCATTGAAGTACCTAATATAATCAGTTTTTTTTTTTAAAAGGTGAATATTGTTTTGAATTAAATATACCCTTAAATCCCTATAATTTATTTCCAAATCCAACAACAATTAAAAATAATAATATATTATAAGGGAAATGGCCTGAATTAAACAAATTTAGATAATAAATCACAATTCCCGGAAAAGAAAATAATAATAATAATAAGAAGAAAAAGAATAATAATTTCCTTTAATAACGGCAATGGCATTCGCCTCAATCTTGCAACCAACAGCCATTGGTTCCACTTCCCGCCAAACCAAACCCCATTAAACCCTAATTTTCTCTATCTCTGCTTTTCTACAACCGTTGCCCTTTTGCGTCCTTGCCCCTCTGCAACTGCAGCCACCTTCTTCAGCCTCTCTCTACCGTCTTCCATCAATGGACCCAAAAGAAGTCAAGTCCGACTTGGTTTTGATTCTGGACTTTGGCTCGCAATACACCCATCTTATCACTCGCCGGATTCGGAGCCTCTCTGTTTTTTCTCTTTGTATTTCGGGGACTTCTCCGCTCAAGGCCATCACTGATCTCAATCCACAAGTCGTTATTCTCTCTGGTGGACCTCACTCTGTCCATGCTAGCGACTCGCCGAGTTTCGCTGCTGGGTTCGTCGAGTGGGCGGAGGCGAACGGGATTTTTGTTTTGGGTATTTGTTATGGGCTTCAGTTGATTGTGCAGAGGTTGGGAGGTGTGGTGAAGGTTGGGGAGAAGCAGGAGTATGGGAGAATGGAGATTGTGGTGGAAAAGTCTAAAGGGTTGTTTGGGACTAAGAAGGTTGGGGACAGGCAAGCTGTTTGGATGAGCCATGGTGATGAGGTGGCGAAACTTCCCGAGGGGTTTGAAGTGGTGGCGAGGAGTCAACAAGGGGCCGTCGCGGCTGTGGAAAATCATTCAAAGAAGTTCTATGGGTTACAGTATCATCCAGAGGTAATGGGGTTCATTTTTTTTTTTCTTCTTACTTTGTACTCTGTATTCTATTTTGATGAACTATTGGAACTTTACGTTCTTTCTTTGCGTGTTGTTTTGCAATAATATTCCGTTTTCAGATTTAAGATTGACCACATGTTTGTTTAATTTCTGGAGAGTTCCACCTCGATGCTGTTTGAGTTTTTCGAACTTTGGATTTTGTATGTGTGATGCCTTGTTAAAAAACTAGTTCGAGCAGGCCAAATTCGCGCTATTTTTATCTAAAGGACTACCTGTTTTAGTTTCACCTCAAATTTAAACTCCTTCTTGGAGGTGGCTTGAGAAATATTTTGATGTGAAGAGGTTTTTTTTTTTGGCTTCTGTGGCTTATTCAAAACCAGGTTTCTAGTTTTCACCTTCAGCCCAGGATTTTGTTTTCTCAGGCTTCTGCAAGTCCCGAGTGTATATGTAGCTTATATAAAGTAATATGCTGAAGAATAATGTTTTTACGTTATCTAATCATGTCTAGCACTACTTTAGGCTTTGGATGTATTGAAATATATTGCTACGTGTAAGTAACGTTACTCATGTTTTCTGGGTTGAACTGATGAAAGGAGAATCTTCAGTAGTTTGTAGCCTTTAATTAGTTTCTTCTACGGTTTTCAAAGATCATGCTATTGGCCAAGTGTTGAATGGGGTGGGGGCAACAAATCTTGCTTTGTGATGAACTGAAGTGATATCATTCGTGGCATACTCATCAGATAATTGTCATTTCTACGAGAAGTTGAACTTGTGTATCTTGTGTAGGTTACTCATTCACCAGAAGGAATGGAAACATTGCGTTATTTTCTCTTTGATGTCTGTGGAATTACCGCTAGCTGGAAGATGGAGAATATACTAGATGAAGAAATTAAAGTAATCAAAGAAACTGTTGGTCCTGATGCTCACGTCATATGTGCATTATCAGGAGGTGTGGATTCAACCGTTGCTGCAACTCTTGTTCATAAGGCAATTGGGGAAAGGCTTCACTGTGTTTTTGTTGACAATGGTTTATTAAGGTACAGAATTTGATTTTATGTCCTGAATGTGAATGATGAAAATTTTGTCCGGTTGACTTTTAAAAATATAAGTTTTCTATAATTCAAAGGGGAAGATCTATCCCATGTCCCTCTACAGAAGTAGAACTGCGCGGTACAGATTTTGTCCTGTTTTGATATAAATAAGGCTCACCATGTTTGTTTGCAAAGTTCATAATGTCACTTTGTGTCTACATGGCAGGTATAAAGAACGAGAACGTGTCATGGAAACCTTTGAAAACGATCTTCATTTGCCTGTTACTTGTGTTGATGCAGTTGATCATTTTCTTAGCAAGCTTAAAGGTGTAGTAGATCCTGAGGAGAAAAGAAAAATAATTGGGAAAGAGTTTATTTCTATATTTGATTCATTTGGCCACGATTTGGAACTTAAAATTGGTAAGAAGCCTTCATACTTGGTCCAAGGCACATTGTATCCTGATGTAATTGAATCTTGTCCGCCACCTGGATCTGGAAGAAACCATTCCCACACGATCAAGAGTCATCATAACGTCGGAGGACTTCCCAAGGACATGAAACTGAAACTTATCGAGCCACTTAAGCTCCTCTTTAAGGACGAGGTAATGGTTTTGATCTTTCTACTGATATACACTTGTCTGTGTTGTATCACATTTTGTATTTATTAATAAACACTGAATAAAATCTCAAATTTAAAGGTACGCCAACTTGGGAGGATATTGAATGTTCCTGATGCGTTTCTAAAGCGCCACCCTTTCCCTGGGCCTGGTCTTGCTGTACGAGTGCTGGGCGATGTAACAGAAGGCAATGCATTGGAGGTTCTTCGCCAGGTAACTTCAGTGGTGTTGAGTCGAAACTTTTACCTTTCCTGTTTGTGAAGAAAATTTAGTTTGCTATAATTATGGATGCAGGTTGATGAGATTTTTATTCAGTCAATCAAGGATGCTGGGCTGTATGATTCAATATGGCAAGCATTTGCAGTGTTTTTACCCATAAAATCAGTTGGAGTTCAGGGTGATCAAAGGACACATTCTCATGTTGTTGCTCTGAGAGCTGTTACAAGTCAAGATGGAATGACAGCAGATTGGTAAATCCTTGTCAGCTTGTTCTAGTCTTATATGAAAGAAACTAAGTTGCATTCCTAAATTATTCTCTTGGTTTACGTCAAGGAGGAATGTTAAGTTAAAACCCAAAAAACAGAGGAAATTGACACATCTGTGTAGGTTCGGTGTGGTAGCTTTTGTTTGGTTGTTTTGAGTTTCCTTCTTTTTCCCTTAAAAAATCGTTTTGAACTGACCTGCACACACTTGTAGATTCACAAGCATCTGGTTTTGCTGTTTGTTCTTGTGACCTGTAGTCTAACACATGAAATGAAATGAGTCCAGTTATGTCCAACCGTGCAGAAAATGTATTTACTGTAAGGACATCAGTTCATTGATAATGTGGGATGGTTGATGATGCAGGTTTAACTTTGAACATCAGTTCCTGGATAATGTGGCAAGAAAAATTTGCAATAGCGTTCGGGCCGTAAACAGGGTTGTTCAAGACATCACGTCGAAGCCTCCATCAACAATCGAATGGGAATGAGAAATCACCACCAAGTTTTGCTGTTGAGAGGGAGTGTTATTAGGTCGAAGGCCTTCATGTTGAATCGAATGGGAATGAGATCTGAACACCAAGTTTTGCGGTCGAGCACGGGTCAGTGGATCGAACGTTTGATCATTTGATGAATAGTTGATTCTATGTTTGGTTGTGTTGTGGTGATGTAGCTGACTGAATTCTATCGAACTTCTTATTCATAGATAAATAAAAACCATGCTCTTTCTCTCTATCTCTTATGTTATTTCTCTCCAAGACAATCAATACTATATCAGATTGAACATCAATCAGGTATGTTTCAAAAAGGCAATATAATTAAGGATAATCAGTAATTAAAATAATATATCAATATATATTTGAATTAAAAGCTTTGTTTTAATTTTGTACCATGACAAATAAGGTATGTTTTTTTGAATCAATGATCATCCTAGATTCAAAATAGGCAAAATTTACAATTTTGAATGGTCAAGAGCAGTGAATATATATATATATATATATATATATATATATATAAATGACTTTTATTTAAAAATTGTATTGAGAATGTATTTAAATCAAGCTAATAATTGATTTTAACCTACAATATGTATGTTGAGTAATAAATTTAATTTTATATTCCACATTTAAAGGAAAGCAAGTAAATGTTTTATACATCACCGTTAATACTGTTTTATTAAAAATAATATAAATAAAAGACCCCACTGCATTTAAGTTTTAGAACTTAACTGATACCAAATATATATTCCAGATAATAACAAATTATACAAAGTTAGAGATGGAAATAATTCATTTTATATATTATAAAAAAAAATTAAATTAAATTAATTAAGAGCATTATTCAATATATCCCGACGTAACTCTTTATTAGCCTTATAAATTATATAGTAAATTAACTAGGAATAAAATGAGAACGCAAGATATATTTTTTAATAGAAAGAATAGAATTAGATATGTCTGAGAGTGAAATTATCCAAAGTACGAGGACAAATGGATAAATAAAAGAAAATCCATCGCTAATTCCGTCATTATCTATCCGGAAACATAATCGAAGGGCAAAAGGCGGGAAACATGACTCCAAATTTGTCGGGGCTGGGCCACAAACATAAATATAAAAAAGTACAGCACCTTCTCTGCAAAAAGTAGATAAAAAAAAAAGACCGAGGAGAAATAAATAAAGAAAAGAGAGCAGCCTGCTTTCAACTTCCATGTTTAGCTCCAACTTTTTTTGGATTAACAAAATCCATTTCCTTCGAATCAAACACATTCTCTCGTTGTCTCGGAATTTTCGGACCGGATTTGTGGCTCTTACCCAACTTAATTTCTTAATTTTGTTCTCCATTTTTCATTTGGCGAATCGACCTGGAGCTCTGCATTTTCTGTTCCTAATCTTTCTTCTTCCCATTCTTTCGTTTCATTCGGCCCCCTTTGACGCAGATGCTGTTGGGTTTCTAAGAAATCTTTCTGAACAGCCTCATCTTGTTCATGTTGTCAAAGGTGTGGTTTCTGAAATCTTTGATACATTTTGAGGATGCGTGTCCATCTGTTTTAGCTTCTTTATCAGCTAATAAACGCTTTTTTGCGGACCCATTTTGATTATCTTTTGGGTTCTTTAGGTTGCATTTCATATTTTTACCTCAGAATTTCAATCTTCTTGCTCCTGTGCTATTGGGTTACGATTGCCGAGCGAGTTGAGCAAGGAAATGGAGACGTTGTCTCTGTCCCTTTCAGTCCCTTTTTTGTGGGGGAGGAGGGGGATAAGAATTCTCAAGTCCATTTAAGAATTTCTGGGCATTCTAGGGTAATAGTTTCTTGAAACAAGGTGTAGCCGGGGCCAAATTTGTATGAACAGGTAAAAATTGTTGAAATTTGCTATCTAATAAAAGGTTTGGTTGGCAGGTTGGGCTTAGCTGAAATTTGGGTGTAATGTTTCCTCAGCTTCTCAACAGCATTTCACAGGTAGTTTCTTGAATGCCTATCTCTTCCTATAGTTCCTCTCAGCTAAAGAACCGGAACCTTAGATTTATGGACACGTCAAAGTTTAATTGTCTTATTCCTCTTAATTGACGAGCAACATTGCACAACTTCAGGAAAACTTTTTAAACGTGATATGAGTAAAGACATAAAGCTGCATCGTTTTTCTGTGCATTCTCTAGTTTTCCTCGGGTAACATTGCGCTGACTTTGATGGTTAATGTGTTATGCAACTTTTTTATCTCCATGTTCTCTTGGATCATGGAAAGAGTGGATTGTTGATGATTTTGTTGTGAGCTACATTGGAGCTGTACTCAGCTGGTTCAGAAGCTCTGGTGAATGGCTGAATGTAAGTCTCTTTTGCTTATCAGAAGTTTTTTGCACGTGAGATGGTCTGGTTTTTCTCATATCCATATTTAACCTTATGCTCTCTTCAACATTAGCCAAACTAAAATTGGAGGTGGTGGAGTGGTTAAATTTTATGCTCCCCCATATAAATTTGCCCCTGGATGCTTCAGATGAGGAATTGAGAACATGCTTGATTGATGGAACTATTCTATGCAGCATGTTAGATAAATTATGCCCTGGGGCAGTTCAGGTTGGATGACATTTGGTGGTCTTTGTTTATAACTTTTATGTATATAATTTTCCATTTAATAATTTCCTCGCATTTAATTATTTTTTTTAACATAGACCACAAATTTCTTTTCTTTTCTCTAGGGAGGCAATTGTAAGCCCATCAATTCTAACATTGAGAGTTTTTTGATAACTCTGGATGAACTAGGACTTCCTGGCTTTGAACCATCTGTCTTAGAGCAGGTAATTGCTTTTGTTTGATGCAATGCAATTGTGTCTGTAAATACCTTTATTTTCTGCCATATAGATGATAAAAAGTGAGGGAAATACTTGTTTTGGTTCCATACTTATTGACTTCATTCAATTGAGCCATAAACTTGAACCATTGTTGTAATCATCATCTTCTTTAGAGCTAAATAGCACGAAAACTAGCCAAAACACCTAAAATCTAGCTGCAAAAATGCCCAACACAACCAGAAAATTACAGTAAAACTGAATGGTAAGAAAAGCTCAAAGCCAACACTAAACAACTCAAACTAAGCTAAAACAAATGCCTATCACGGTCACAAAAACCAGCCAACAAAAGTAGTCTTGTCCTGCCATGAGAATTTTTCACACTTACATTGCAAATATCTTAAATCTTAGAAGGTACTAATTTCTTCATTTCACATTCATAACTCAATTTGACACCATTAAAGTTTTAATGATTGGTAAAGAGTGGCTTTAACCTTGAATAGTAAATGGATCACTTGAACAGGATATCTCATGATTTTTATCTTGAAGAAAAACCTTGTATTGTGTGATATACTTGATCTCCTTTGCAATACTTATCTTGTGTAATCTGACTTGGATTTTATAATCATACATCCATTCCTGCAAAACATTTAGTTATTGGGTTTCATCATTTATCACACTTGTATCCAACTTACAAACAATACCTGGTTCAGTTATGTATTTATGCTGAATGAATCAATTTGATTGTTAGATATTTGAAACCTTTATAAATTGAAATATGAGCAGAGATTAAATGCAGGGACCTATTGCACCAGTTTTGCACTGCCTGAGCACGCTTCGAGCTTCTTTTGATTTGACTGCTGGGGATGATGACACTCAACATTATTCACGAAAGAAATGGAACTTATATGAAGTAGAATCATTAGATGGAATCAATAATTTCTCTGGGCAAAGACTTCAGGATTTTCAGAATGGTTCAATTATATCAGGTATGGTACAGGATCAGGAGGAGAATGTAAATTGTGCAAGGATTTCATTCAGAGTAAATTATAAAGTTTTTTTAGGGTTGATCTTGTTCTTGATTTTTGGATGGTCAAGCCTTTGAACATTGAGGGATTTTTTCTCCCAACAATTAAGTTTTGCTCCTGCATTTTACTGTTTGTAGTTAAATAATTTTTTTTATTGGCTGTGTTTTTTTTTTTAAAAAAAAATCTCCCCTGTAGAGTTTTTATTTTTTCGTGTCGCTGTTAGTCTTTTAGGTTGTACATTGTACTCTTCACGTAGTTTCTTGTTTCAGAAAAAAAGATATTTGATTTGGTTTATCCAACCAATTTCTGCTGATAATCCACATTTAAAGAATTTTGACCTTAAATAGGTCAAGTGCCTAAACAGTCATAGAGTGCATCCGATACTTTTTTAAGTTTTGTTTGATGTTTCTTGTTTCACATTTAAAGAATTTTGGTCTTGATTCAATTTACTTCTTATACTTTCTAAATGTCCATTTTGGTTTGTGTACTTTTAAAAAGTGAACAATTTGGTCGTTCTACTTTTTTTTTCCTCATTTTTTTTCGAACATAATTTTAGCATAACACTTTACTCACTAAATTTCTTGAAATGTAGCCATAAATTTGTGTTAAAGGGACTCTCTTGTGTAAAATTTACGTTTGTGGTCATGAACCAAAATGAACCAAAGCAAAAAGTAGAGGGACCAAAATAGTATTTAAACCAATTAAATATATGTTTTATATTGTGTATGCATGGTTTTGATCTTAATGTCTGATTTTTTGGATGCTTATGCAAATCAGGTTACAGCAGGCAGGTATAACGAACTTACTATCATTTATTGAGTTAATTATTATATTATCAAGGAAGTTTGGTGGGATCACAGTGTTCTAGATTTTCATGCTTTCTCTTAAATTTAGTGTTGACAATGCAATTTATTTCATTCTATTATTTTCTTGTTTGTTTATTATAGCACTATCGTGTGGTTTAAGAAGTCATATTCAACTTGAGGATCATGAAGTGCAAGAACAAAATCATGATGTTTCTGGTTCTGACATCTTGGAGTTGATAAAATTAAAAAATTTTGAGGTAACCCTGAACCATGTTTAATTCGTTGTTTACATCAATGGTATGCTTCAAAATATGAATATATTCATTTCTCAAGTAGTTTCTGCGATTATTTTATGCAGAATGTCTCTACTCCATCACTTTTCAATTTGGTCAATGGAATTCTGGATGGCAGCGTTGAAACAAAAAATGGAGACGTGTCAAATGTATGGGAGTGATTATCATTCTTCTACTGGAAGCATAAAAAATTTCAACCCAAGAAATTCACACACCATATCTGATTTCATGGTCTTATTTTTATCCAGGACGTTTAATTTAGTTGTATTTCTAACTTTCCTTTTATTGGTTCAAATTTCTCTCAGCAAATAGCATATCTTCTGCGAAAAGTTGTACAGGTGCTTGAGCGGAGAATTTTAACTCATGCTGGAAACCTGAGACATGTAATCGTGCTTAGCATAATTTTTAACTTGGGACAGTATACTATCTTTCACTGCCAATAGCAATTAACGTCTTTCACCTTGGATTTATGCAGCAAAGCGGTCTTTTGAGAGCTCGGGAGGAGAAATTTCTGTCAAGAATAAAAGTCCTTGAAACCCTTGCAACAGGAACCACTGAAGAAAATGAGGTATTTTGATGAACATCCAAATGTTCAAATATTTGCTTTCGGTTTAGAAATCAAAACGCTGTATTCAGTCCTGGATTTTTGGTGTCATTACTTTTGTAGGTTGTTTTGAATCAGCTTCAACGTATGAAGGTAAAGTGCTCAATCCATTTCTAATCTAAGAAAATTATCAAGTATATTTGTTATCTTTGATTCCCGACTTATTTTTATTTTCATCAAGATCAAGCCATTTAGATAAACTGGCTTCCTTCCACTCTGCCTTGTGTTTGCTGTACGTTCTAATTTTGGTAGGGATCTCATTTTTAGTCGTAGAATTGGAGAGCTTCCTTGCTTCATAAGATCCTATCGTGAAGGAACGACAGTAACTAAATATTAATAATAAAGTTCAGCAACCATAATGTTGAATTGATGAAGATATTTATTATATTGGTTCTCATGTATGCTATAGTTTGCCTTCTGCTTTCTTTCACCTAGGATGAAATACCCAAGTTGTTTTTATTTGCTTGAAGTTTTTGATGATCAACTCATTTTCCATTAATGTTGAATGAGCTTGCTGCGCACATTTTAGCTGCCTATAATTTCAACTTTGCTCAATTGAACCAGTTGTTTTGAGTTCCGTGGGTAGCATGTGAAATTTGGTTGTATAGGAAAAATCATTACTGCTATGAACATCTACGAGGAATCTTTTGTACTGTTTATTCTCAGGCAGAGACTTCCACAGTCCACCTTATTAATATCAGGGGTGACTCCTGAATTTGTGTAGAAGAACGACCTCAATATGGGACCCAGTTTGTTTCTATTTGTCTCAAAATTTGGTTGATGTTCATGCACCGAATTTAAGTAGATTTCTATTCCAAATTTTTATTAATAAAATCAATGGTAATGCACCTAATCCTAATACTGGTTCCAACCCCTATAATATTACTTCTTTCTCACACTTTTTATTTTGGTTCTCCTAAACCCATTCCTTGGTTACGAACAGGGCGTACACTGATAAAGTGACGATTATATTGTCCATTTAGCTCATGCCATAATTTATCATTGTGACCAGTGACATTTTAGTTTTGTGTTAGTTTCTCCGTCACGTACAGAATATGTTAACACTTGATTATTTGGTGTTGAAGGTTGAAAAGTTCAAAGTAGAGGAAATGAAAACTTGCGAGGAGCAGGATAAGATGGCTCTGAAGGAGCAAAAGGAACGCTGTGATGTTGAGCTTTCAAATCTCAGAAAGGAGCTAGAAATGACTAAAAGGGAACATGAAAATAATTGCTTGCAATTGGAAAAAAGTGCCAAGGAGGAAAAAGTTAAGTTTGAAGAGAAACTAAATGAACTCGAATACTTATTAGCGGATTCCAGGAAGAAGGTGAAGGAACTCGAGACATTTTCTGAATCTAAATCACTGAGATGGAAGAAGAAAGAGTTTGTCTATCAAAATGTTGTTAATGATCTGCTTGGAGCTTTTAAGGTTTTTGTTATGTCTTCAGTAATGTTATTTTCCGTAGGGCCCATTTTGTGTTGATTAGAGACATGACTTTGATTTTATTATTTTTAGGAATTAAGGGGTTCGCTGGAGTCCATCAAACATGAGGTCTTGAATACAGAAAGAAACTATGCAGAGGATTTTAATTACCTTGGTAGGTTTTAGCTTAACCAATCTCCTGTTTTCATTTTTACTCCAGTTTTCTATGTTATTTGTACTTCTTTTCATTCAATTTTTTTTTTTTTTTTGTTTATGATGGTGTTGCCATTAATAGGAATAAAGTTCAAAGGATTGGCAGATGTGGCTCTGAATTACAATGCAGTTCTGAACGAAAATAGAATATTGTATAATGAGGTTCAGGATTTAAAAGGTATCATTTTTATTTTCCTTTTTTTGTTTACTTGAGCTTTCTCAATTTAGATGTGGAATTTCACAGGTAACATTCGAGTGTATAGTCGAATACGGCCATTCCTTCCAGGGCAAAAAAAGCTAACTACAGTTGAATATATTGGTGAAAATGGTGACTTGGTAATTGTAAATCCTGCTAAACAAGGAAAAGACAATCGTAGGCTATTCAAGTTCAATAAGGTTTTTGGTCCGACATGTTCACAAGGTATTTGTAATCTAATCCAATTTTGATAAACTGTACATAAATTAAGTTACTCTATTATGTTACTCATACTTATTGCTAGTTCGATTAGGAAGATTTTTGTTTTCCAACTTCCTATTTACATTTAATTTTTTTTATTTTTTATCAGAGGAGGTGTTTATAGACACTAGGCCGTTAATTCGGTCTGTCCTTGATGGATATAATGTTTGCATATTTGCTTATGGACAAACTGGTTCGGGAAAGACCTATACTATGGTATGCGATATGCTTATATTTGTGACACCATATTTTTACTCTGTTCATTGTGGCTCATACGTCTTATTCTTTCTCAGAGTGGACCTGATATATCATTGAGAGAAGAATGGGGTGTTAATTATCGAGCATTAAATGACCTCTTCGAAATTTCTCAAAGTAGGAAGGGATCTATTGCCTATGAAATTGGTGTCCAAATGGTTGAGATATACAATGAACAAGTCCGTGATCTGCTCTCAACTAGCGGTCTTCCAAAGAGATATCCTACTTTGAATACTTTGATATAATTTAGTTATGCAAAAGTTAAAAAAAACATCTTTTGTTGTGTAATTCCCATTGTTTTTTCAAAGAAAGAAACTAATCATTCAACCCAGAAGATAACTACACAATGGGTAGGAAAAGAAACCTCTTAACTGGCTCATTGAATTGACTTGTTTATGAAAAGAGTAAAGTTTGGTTTCTCTTCTATTCTTTAGAACTAATTTAATCAATCAATTCATTATTCAGCCTTTCCCAGCCATTTTAGAATTTGTTTAGCCGAAGTGTCCTTTTATAATGAAAAAACATAGTTTCCTTTGACTTGCGCACACTTGGGATTTGGAACTCTACTCAACCAAATGGGCTTGCAGTACCCGATGCTGCCATGCATTCTGTTAGATCTACTGGCGATGTTCTTGATTTGATGAAGATTGGGTTGTCAAACAGGGCTGTTGGAGCCACAGCCCTGAATGAAAGAAGCAGCAGATCTCATAGGTAGTATTCTAAAAATGTTATTAATCATTTATTTTCATACTTCCTTTGAGAATACATTTCATGCAATTACTGATGCTGTGCAGTGTGCTGACGATTCATGTTCGTGGTGTGGACTTGGAGACAGATGCTATCTTGCGTGGTTGTCTTCATTTAATAGATCTTGCTGGTAGTGAAAGGGTGGACCGCTCCGAGGCGACTGGAGATAGGCTGAAGGAGGCACAACATATTAATAAATCATTGTCAGCTCTTGGGGATGTAATTTTTGCTCTTGCACAGAAGACTGCGCATATTCCTTACAGAAATAGCAAACTAACCCAAGTTCTCCAAAGTTCTTTAGGTGCTTCTGTGTTTTCGTATTTTATTGGACCTCTATTCTTCTATTTTCTGATAATACCTAGTTCATCACATATTTTCTTTATTCGAACCTCTAGGTGGTCAAGCAAAAACGCTCATGTTCGTACAGATTAATCCTGATGTGGAGTCATATTCTGAAACTATAAGCACCTTGAAGTTTGCAGAAAGAGTTTCTGGTGTCGAGTTGGGTGCTGCCCGCAGCAATAAAGAGGGTAGATATGTTAGAGAACTCATGGATCAGGTCCCGACAACTTGTCATTCTCTTCTCTATTTTTTAAAATTTTATTCAACAGTTCTTTTCCTATTGAACTGCATGAAACTTCTCCTTAAATCTCGACTCTAATAGTGTGCACGGAGTACACAATTACATGAGATGTGCTATTTTCTGATTTTATGTTGACAATGCTATGCAGGTGGCAGTTCTCAAGGATACCATTGCAAATAAAGATGAGGAGATTGAGCGGTTGCAGTTACTTAAAACTAGTGGCAATTCTGTGAAGCATGGCGTTGGTTCCCAAAGATTTGAATCATGTTCACCTGGAAGGGCTTTTAGTGCAACTCCTCGGCAGAGGCAAAGGCCATCAAGGAGGAAAGACTTTCTGGTTAATAAAGCAGCATCTGATATGGACAATTTCTCGGATTATGATAGGCGTTCTGAAGCTGGATCATATCAGTCTATGGATGACTTTAGACATCATAAGCATTTTGGATCGGAATCACATCTGTCTGTAGAGGACTTTAGACGTTCTAAGCGTTCTGTATCAGGATCACATCTGCCTCTAGAAGATTTTAGACATCAGAAGGAATCTTTTTCACAGTCGAGGGCTTTAGGTCTGAAGGTTACGGATGATGTTGAGCTTTTAGGCTTTGGGAATGCTGATTCTGATGAGAGATTAAGTGACATATCAGATGGTGGCCTCTCAATGGGGACTGAAACTGATGGATCGATCTGTAGCGTTGTGGAATACACTCTATTCCCTGATGTTTCAAAACCATCAGATAGTTTGATTGCTGTTACCAAACACCCAGATAGCTCGTTGGATGTCAAAAGGCTAGCCGAGAGTGCAACAACTGGGGTGAAGTCATTGGTACCTATTCCAGAAAAGTAAGTAATTACTATTTCCTCTTAAATTATTTATCGACATCCTTGTACTCGACTTATACAGAATTTAGGTTCAGCTTTCTCTCTTCATTTCATGCTTAAACTGATTGGTGACACTGCCAGCTACTATAAAAGTCATGACCCTTTATTGTTTCCTGTAACCGGGGTGTCGAGGGCCTCGCTTCACTTATGGCTCGCCCTACTTGTCTTTTTGAAGGCTCTACCCACTCCAGTGCCACCTCCAAGTATCACAAGTGCTGTTTTCAACTTGGGGTTTAACATCTCAGGCACTTACAAGTGACACCACCGGCAGTCCCCTTGGGTGGTCTAGGACCTAATTTCAGAAATAGCCAAATAGGACATCTTTTATTGTAAATAACATTTTTACTCCATGTGATTTGTTTGGACGCACTTGGATGCGCAACAACTCCCCCACACCTTGGTGGTTAAATACGTATTAAGAAATTTATCCTCTTTGTTCCCTGTTTTATGCAGAACCAATGCGCCATTGAGGACAGGCCCCAGGCCCCCGCAAAAGCCCGTGCAGACAAAACCTTCAAGAGTTTCACTGACGAAAAGCTCCTCAAAGGCTCCATCAGCATCAAGTATGAAAATCTAAACATTGTTCTTCTTACTCCGATGTTCTCAATATTATTTGCCTCATGTTTTCTTTCCTTAATTTTTGTGATAAGATGCCAAACTTTTCATTGGTAAAATGAAAAGTACAAAAGGGGATCAAAGGAGAATACAAAAAAGCTCTCCGATTGCTGTTAATAACAAACGAATTATAACTACAAAAGAGAGTGGAAAGAGTGCTCCATCTTGAGGTATCAAAATGATTGTTTTGCCTTATGGCATTATTCAGCTGTTCTGCTTTTACATTGTTTTAGAACTTGCATCATTTCCCAAGTCAATGTTAAATGATCTCCTTTTGGTCAGCTGCTTTGGTTTCTACTCCTAACATTTTAGTCATTTTAATACTCAAACCTTATTAATCTTATAATCTAGCTTATTGGCAACGAAAGACCAATGCTAACATGAGCGTCGTTGAGCTACCTACTCCCTTGAGAGCGGTGGTTCGATGTGGTAAAAGACAAATGAGTCACCATACTGAAGTCAACTCAGTGCTAGCTCAGCCTTTTATATCATGTAGTCATTGCCATATTGACTTTTACATGATGCCATGTTAGCTTTGTGTTCATATTTAACTAGATCATCAACTAGCGACCAATTTAGCTTCTTTTTTTTCTTTTTGCTGTTCCATGTTCTCCTTGCTCATCTTACCCTATTTGTTTTGATGCAAATCAGGCACAAAAAAAGCTATTGTTGGTAGCTCCTCGTCGATGAAAAGCGGCAAAAGGTGGAAGTGAATCAGTGTAAAAGTGATGTGGGTAGGAAAAATTCTTAGAGGCTAATCAATATTTTGTGTAGTTGTTGGTGACAGTTTAACTTCTCACTTCTAGTTCTGGCTCAACCATAGGTGATTAGCTTTTTGCCTTTCTAATTGGAACCTCATATTTCCCCCTCTTTTTGTTGTATATTTGTATGCCAAAAGGTTAGCCATTGATTTAATACACAAATTGAACCATTCTCCCTCTCTCTGCCTATTTTCTCCCTCTTTCTCTTCCGATATCATCTCTCTCGTGTATCACTTGCATAGATAGAATTATCCATCCATCTAGAACTTTCAAGTACAACAGGAATGTGAGATTCCACATCGGTTGGAGAGGAGAATGAAACATTCTAAGGATGTGGAAACCTCTCCTTAGCATACATGTTTTAAAACCGTGAGACTGATGACAATACGTAACGGGTCAAAGCGGACAATATTTGTTTGCGGTGGGTACGGATTGTTTCAAAGAATCTTCTTGTTCTTGTGTCTACTTGGACGCATCAAAGATTTTGTACAAGAAATTATAGGCATGGAGAACAATCTTTTTAGTCTCATGTATTGAACTAATAGTTTTGTTTGACCATGATAATTGAACGTTGATTTGATAACTTTCAACCGGTGTTTGGTTTGAAAGCACAGGAAATGTGCTTATCTAAATCAAACTCGGGTTTGGATGGCAGTTTTGTAAACCCGAATTTTCTACTTTATACACTATTTGTATTCTCCATATTTGTCTTTACTTACGATAATCATGTTACCCTCGTCGATTACAAACATGCTACTTGTAAACTAATCGAGTGTTATTTTGGTTAGTTTATCATAAATGGAATGGATGTTTAAATAGCTTTTAGAGTTAAAGAACCTTTATGTATTGGTTAAAAAAATGAAAAGAAATAAAATTTACTTAAATTATTTAAATTTTAATTAAATTCTTCAAAATACATCTAAAAATCATGAGACTATTAAAGGGTAGATTTTTCATCTTTTTATGGAAATAATTTTGGATGGAGTAAGTTTATAATTTGATCCTTTTTATTTTTATTTAATTAGAATAAAAACGGATATTTCTGCATAAAAATTAATTTCTTTTTTTAAAAAATAATGATAAAAGGAAAGAGAAAGGAAAAGGTTCAATAGTTCAACCCATCGTAAATCTTCAGCTCTCAATTTCCCGGAAAAATGATTATAAAATTCGGCCACAACCTCATTCCGATGGTGGGAGCGCCTGTTTCTACGAGGTTAGATATTTTCCTTTCTTAGCATTCTCTCTTCATTCTGCAATTTTCTTTCTACTTCTAATTTTCCTTGGAGTATTGTTTAAAGCTCTGACTTGCTGCTGAGAAGCTTAGAAAGTGAAATGATGCTCTGCTGCAGTTGGTTTCCTGTTTGATTCAGCTAGGTTATGGCTGAAGGACATGTGTTTTTTTTCTTTCAAAAATTTAGTTTGCCCATCTATTTAACGGTCCTGATGGACACTTAACTTCAATTAATTGATGAAGTTATTCGTTTTATTGTTTTTATTCAATCCAGATTGGCACTATTGTGGTCGATTTGCTTTATGAATAGTGTTTTGGGTGCATTCTGGAACATTGAGTTGGGGATTGTTCGCTTAGTTCTTATGAAACGGTCAGGAAGTAATTTGGTACTTTCAATTTTTACATACGGGGTTAGGCGTGGTTAATATTCCAGTAAATAAAACTGGAACAAATTTTTTAAATTTGTTGGCTGAAACTATCATTTTAGGTATTCTAAATTTGGTTTAGATATCAAGAACATGTTAGAAAATAGATTGCAAGAAAGAAATTTATTTACCTTACATATAAACTTGGTTTTCTAAAATAGAAATTTGAAAATTTCATCAAATAGTTTATCCATTTTTTTTTTCTTAAGCATGTACATATTTACCTGAGATACATATGACAGTGTTGCTTTATTACAAGATTTGTTGGATAACCTTTCTAAGAGTGGAACGGCATGTGACACTTGTACTCAATTTTTGCTTCAGGGCTTCTCCAATTTAACTTTTTGGTCGTTTGTCTTTGGACCAATTGGACTGGATATATGTAATTCGATCGAACTTGAAGTCTCTGCTATGTGAAGGTATGCAGGAGTTGATTGATGATAAGTTCTAATACCGTGAAAAAAATTGATTTATTGTTATTTATAAGTTGGTATGAGAGGCCAAGATAATTCCCAAAAGAGATTAGTTCTAAGACCGTGAAAATTGGAAAATTTCTATTGCACGTGATATCATGTTCATTGATCTAGATATATCAGTTATATGGTAGAAATTAGGGTGCAAAAGTCTAGGCTAACATCCTGATAAATCTGAGCTAATCCCTTAAAATCATAGATATCATCATGATTTCAGAATGAAATTGTCTTGATGGCTGCAAGCCAACTATATAGCTACTGTACGTGTAATGCTATTATTTTAGTCGCTATAATGGATAAAGAGAAAAGTTCCACTAGTCAATTATATTGCTAGTATATGTAGAATCTTCGTTGTTGTTAGTTCAATTGAGGGCGAAGGAAATTTTTTGAGTTTTCCTTATTGTGGCGACCTAGTATGATGAAAGGGGAAAAGAGATTGGTCCAAATTATATGGACACTATTTTGTCTGTTTCTTCAAGACGGTGCTTTCTCCACAAAGATTTTTGTAGTTCTGTTCTTTCTTGCCAAATGCAGAGGATTATGTAACTCCTTCGATTTTCTCAGGCTTCATGCCTAAAACATTTCCATTTTTTTAAATGAATTTCTTTTTAAAACTTTATTGCTGTATTTCTTTGCTCTTGATTTTCATTATTGATCTATTTGCTATGGTTTGGATCAAATTTTCCTTCTAGATAAACGTGTGAATTACTTACACAAATTAATATTCCTGGGAGCAAAAGAACTTTCTAATTGTCATGTTGAAATTTTGTGAGATACAGTTGGTAAAGATTTTGTTCTAACTGCAAATTTGCAGTCACAGGCGGGAGCACGAGTTTCTATTTCATCCTTTATTCTTTCCATTGAATTTGTATAATTTGCTTCCTCCCCCAGTTTAGTTGTTCTTTATGCTAAATCTACTGACTAACCTGAAAAATTCAGTTATTAGTTTTCTTGGTCGTGTTAGATGGCATAGTTTATGCGGAGTGAGATGATGTTATGACTCTGTTTTGTAGTTCTTCTTGAATCATGTGTCAAGGAAACTGTGAAAGGTTTGAGAAAATGAACAAACAGAACAATCCTTGTGTAAGCAATAAGCCATCAATATATTACTGGTGGAGACCAGATGAGAGGATATCGTCTGAGCTGGCTGATTTTGTCCTTGAAAATGATACCCCCAACACTTGTTATGCCAAACACGGTAAAGATAGCGGTACTATAAATGAACCAAAGTCTTCTGAGATGTTGAGCACAGCTCAGTTCATTTCAATTTTTGGCCAAGTATTGAATTGTGCTAGTCGTCCTTTTACATTTTTCCAACCGAAGCAGATCTTAAATCAAGAAAATGATGATTCCAATGAGGTTGCGTTCAATAGTGTGGTTGAAGTTAATGGCCAATTAGTTGATATAAGGACCAATGACCAATGTTCTCCTTTGGGCTTGTCTTGTTTGACAGTAACTCAGAAGATATCTTTGTTAGAACCTTGTAAATATCATTCCATGTCATCATTTTGGAGTCTACTACATGGTAGTCGAGACATGCCAGCTAAATCATGGAAAGGAAAAGGCTTCACTAGTATACAAATCTTGCACGATATGAGGAAGAAATATAGATCGATGAACCATATAAGTCATACTGAAGCATCCTACGCTGTGAAAGTTGATAATAATGGAAGCATGAAAGCCAATGCATTCAAGGCTAGAGGTGGTCTTAATGAAGCAGGGGGCTGTACGTCAGGAGATTCAAGTTTTCTTGTTCATGAGTTGATCAATGAAATTTCAAAGAATGCTCCCATGTTCCAATCAATCAATTTATCATCGCTGTTCGTCCGGAAGTTGGAAATAAAGATGATGGAAAATGTTTATATGGCCTCACGTATCCTTACATTAGTTCAAGATAACAGGGCAGATGGAAGTATTTTAGAGATCCCAGATTCAGTTATTTTGGCAGCTCATTCATTACCTTCCAAGGACAGTGTATTAGACAATTTAGACAACAGGTGCAAGGCTAATATCAGTGAAGAACATGAGAATAAAACCAAACAGTCTGACAAGCTCATTCTTGAAAAGGATTACTATAGAGAGGATTGCTCATTGACTCGTGAAAAATCTTGTTACAGTATTGCCAAGCAAGAACATGCCTTTGCGGGGGCATTAGCCGGTGTATTTGTCAGTCTTTGTCTACATCCTGTTGATACAATCAAAACAGTGGTTCAGTCTTATCATGCAGAACAGAAGTCTTTCAGTTACATTGGAAAATCAATTGTCTCTGATCGAGGTGGGTTGGTGATTCTGTGTGAAACACATGTTCCAATCCAGAATATCAATAGCAGTTTCACTTATATTTGTTGAGGAATCTTCTGAAAATGAACAACATACTTATTTCAGGTTTAAGTGGGCTTTATCGTGGAATCTCCACCAACATTGCGTCTTCAGCTCCGATATCTGCTGTTTACACTTTCACATATGAATCAGTTAAAGGAGCTTTACTTCCACTTCTCCAAGAGGTAGGAATTTCATTCTGTTAGTCATCATCATTATTTTTCTTTTCTTTCCCTACTGTTTGCCTTTCCTTTTTAGGTGTTTTTAGGTGCTTACTCTTGCCCTCTCCCTCTCTTAAGTAGAGATTTGGTGTACGCTGAAGAGGTAAACAAAATGTAAAACAAAATGTAACCGTTACTTGATGGTAGTTATGGCTTTCTGCCAATGAGCAGGTGCTAGGCTTTGCGATTGTATCAGAGTTGGGGGAGGGAGAAATGCAGGCAGAACTCTGCTTATGGATCCGTTTATGGAACCAATAGTGTAGCCTTTTTAATCAATCATTCCGATTTATTGTACATCACTTTGGATGTTTGCTGGAATGTTAGATTTTGAAGCTTCGGACTTGTTTCTTTTCTTTAGGAGTATCGCTCTATTGTCCATTGTACGGCTGGTGGTTGTGCAAGTATTGCTACATCTTTTATTTTTACCCCAAGTGAGCGTATAAAACAGCAGATGCAAGTTAGTTCACGCTACCATAACTGCTGGTATACATTTTAGATTCTTGTGCGTCTCTCTGTTGGGGTTACTCAAAGTATTTGCTCTATTTATTCCCTTTACATTTTATTAATAACTTGAACTCATTTCATTCTCGCCTTGGATTTACTGAAAAATGATATTTTGACTTGGAATCTTGCCGGGTGTCAGACACCAAACAACCTTGAATAATTTCATTGATTTGCTGATGGTTCTGTGATTTCTTTTCCAGCCATTAAAATCATCTTAAGCTCAAGTTTCTTGAATGATATTTTTGTTGACTGTCATACTTCTCTCACGACACTTTGCCTTGCAGGAATGCTTTTGTTGGTGTTGTTGCAAATGGTGGATTGCGAGGATTATATACTGGATGGGGAGCTGTTCTTTGCAGAAACGTACCACACTCAATTATCAAGGTAAGGAGTCTGTGCTAGATGCGTTCAATGAAGGGAAAGAATCGCTCAGCAGATGGGGAAAACTAAAATAGGACAACGATCCAAGTGTACCATGACCTCATTAGACGAGTTCTTTCAGTTTAACTTCATTTTCCTTCTATTTCACCATACCGTTTTGCCATATTTTCTTTGCAGTTCTATACCTATGAAAGTTTGAAAGGACTGTTGAAATCTAATGCTCAGCAAACTACTTCACAAACGGTTGGTTATTTTCCCACTAACCTCACTCTGTCTTCTTAAATTTGATCTTTTGGCACTCGTCTTCTTAAAGTTAATGATAATTCGATGGGAACAGCCTCTCTGTAGTGACAGTGATGTTTAGGGCTATAATACATGCAATATAAATTACATAGATCACGGTGATCCTTCTTTATCTGCAGTTAGTATGTGGAGGGGTAGCTGGATCTACTGCCGCTTTGTTTACCACTCCTTTTGATGTTGTAAAAACGAGATTACAAACACAGATTCCAGGATCTCTGAGCCCATATAAAAGTGTAATCCAAGCGCTCTATGAAATTGGCAAGAAAGAAGGTCTGAAAGGCCTCTATAGGTATGCTTTGTTCTGGCATTGCTTGTCTCTGAGTATATAACATTTCATCAGTCTTCTGCTAATATTCTTGTCAAGGAGGTTCGTTTCTTAATCTTTCTGTAGTTTGTTGACTTTATTGTCCCGTCTGTATGATACTAGGGGGCTGACTCCAAGACTGATAATGTACATGTCTCAAGGTGCAATCTTCTTTTCCTCTTATGAATTTTTGAAGAGAATCTTTTCTCTTGAGGCGCCTCAACATGGGAAGACTCCAACACCAATCCGATGAGAAACACAAAAGATGATTCAACAATACAATTGCAATTCTCTTCACAATCAGTATTAGCAGCGTCTTCTTCATCATCATCATCATTGACCACCACGTTATCGGAATTGTGCTCATAATGTTTACCAAAATATGAAGAACTTAACATGGATGAGTGGTGCTCGGTGAAGAAAACTGCCTCTTTAGATGACTGGGGATGGTCCCACCAGGGGTGTTCCATGCATTGTAAAGGAACTTGATGCAGCAGCAGAAACCTACGAATTGGGATTTGCTATAGATTCTTTTAACCAAAGAGGAGTCATATTTTGAAGTAAACAATTGTGAATCCTTGTAAGTTGATGTCATCATAATTATCCAGGTAGATACCTGTAAGCTTGGGCTATTCTGTATACCTTCAAGTGAAAAAGAAATAAACAGGTATCATATTTTTTTTAATTATTTCCTCTTTTTTAATGATGCCCTATTGCACATTATTGAGTAGCTATGTCAATACTCGAGTACTTTAATCTCAAGGCCAATTTTATACACTGTTCTTTTTATTGAGGTGGTCACAAGCATCCAAGTGTTCACATTTTCTCTTGAGAGAGGGAGATAAAAGGCTTTATGTCAACTCATAAAAGAGGAAGACATCCTTCACATCAGGTAGAGAGAACTGAAAAAAATGTATCAGATCCCCATCGGGATCGATTGGAGAGGGGAAAGTGTGCCAGCGAGGATGCTGGCCCTGAAAGGGGTGGATTGTGAGATCTCATACTGGTTGGAGAAGGAAACGAAACATTCTTTATAAAGGTAGGAAAACTTCTCCCTATCATACGCATTTTAAGAATTTTGAGGAGCCTAAAAAGAATAATATATGCTAGTGGTGAGCTTGAGATGTTACCACCCGCTAAAGCCTCTTCAGCATAGAAAAAGGTTACCAATTTGTCCACTTTCTGAATCTTTCAAATAAAAAGAAAATGGCCCATTTTCTTGAAGCTATGAGGATTATGATCTTTACTTTTGCACAGAGCCAACAGCCAAGGAAAACCATCAAAATATCTCAACTATGTTCTCTTAATGCCCAGCTCCATGTAGTACTTTCCCATGGAAGGTTTCTTTTTCCCCAAAGAAAAGTGAAGGAATACAATAACAAGCCATACAAAATCATAGATTGAGGCCAACAAGACAATCTTTCACCAAAGATTAATAGAACCTGCTCGTTATTCGTCGCAAAAACTAGAGAAGAAATCGAACAGTAGATTCAAGACAAAACTTCTTAAAATATATATTTCTACAGATATTAACTCACTCTACCTCTTAACAATATAATGTACAAAAAGTCCAATGTGAAGGACTTGTTATCAATTGGCTACTCATCTCCCTACCACCATCTTACAATATGGACAGTTAACAAGTTATTCAGAAGGATCTGGTTTTTGAAGAATAACAAATAATGGGTCCTGCACATGACGTGAGCTCCCCAATTAGCATCTTCCCAAGTCTCTTCTACAAGTCATTTTAGCTTCTCGAAGCAAGCTCTTGCTCCGCTATACAAAAGAACTCAAATGCCCAGACTCCGAGAGCCTGCACGGTTGCTGAGTAGGTTCCTTGTACAATTTCTTCCTTTTGAGCTTTATCAGGCAGCTTCCTAACTCTAGTCAGGCAGGCGACCTCTCTAAAGTCGACGTGGAATCATCTGAAGAAGCCATAATATCTGCACTGATCCTATGACCTTTATCCTACACTTTAGCAATAGGAGAAAATGGAGGATGGAACAAATAGGATGGCGGTGTTTCTTTCGACATTCTTGTTTCTCTTTTCTTCTCCTCCATCGTGACTGTGTCGATCAAGAATTTTACTTCCTCCTCAAGAAGCACTTTTAAGGAATTAGAATGCTGCATTTCTTTTGTTTCTTCCTCCATTTGGACAGCATTACAGGCTTCAGTCGCGTGTAAAATAGCAACACAAATGGAGAATGCTTGCAATGTTGATAATCGTGCATGAAAATAGACATTGTATTGTCCATCTTTTACAACATTCATGGTCAATGCCGGAGTGGCATCCTTCACTCCCTATATCCACATAAAAAGGCAAGCATTACTACAAGAAAAATGTCTTTAAACAATTCATTGACTGAAAACTAACAATGTATCATAATAATTTAGATAGAACTGAAATACAGCATCTGAAAAAAGTTAAATCTGCAACAGGAGATCTCTGCTAAACCAAGAAAATCGATACAGACAATGCCCAGCTAAACCATTTATTGCAGTTTGACATTTTCCATTGAATGTACATGAAAAGGCATCTGAAAGATGGTTAAGCGCCTCAAGCTTTTATTCTATGTTTGTTATCAAAATCTTGATATGAAACAACAGTCAAGCATTATACTGCCAATGGAACCACTAGAAAGCTTACCTGAAGAAAAAGCTCAAAAGTCTGTTTCCTCTTTTGCGCTTGCTTTTCGGCACAGTGGCCACTGGGGGTGCCCAAAACCAGTAGAGGACAACCCATGTCCCAACCACCACAATCACAAGAACCTCCTAACCTCCATCGATCGAGTAATGTAGAAGGGCCGTGGCTTTCAACAGTTGGCAAACCGTGGTTTCCAATGGGGAGTACTACCTTCAGAGTTTCTTGAATTGTGTGATGGGGAGTTTCGTCTTTCCTTTGTTCAATCTTAGAGAGGCTTTGTATGGCTGAGTTCAATTTACTGCTTGTTTTATCACCTCTTTTATACTTCAAGCTCTCCCTTTTGCTAAATGGGATTTGCATAATAATAGATGCGGATTCCAGGTCTGGATGTAAATCTGCTGAATCCCAAGGACAAGAATCTATAGAATCATTATCACAATTTTCAGAAGCATGTTTCTTATGAAGTTTTTGTTTTTCTAGAGGAGTCCCATCATTAACACTGAAAGCTTCCCCTACTACGCCTGAATTAGAACTTATAGGAGGTTTAACAGCAGCTTGGATAGAGTTGCAACTCTCTTGAGATGCAGGACTCTGTCTAGCATGTGCAGTATCGTACAGAACGAATTCTGTGATCATCGAGTTGTCAAAACCACCATCTCTAAGTTCAGAGGATAGATAACATGAAACTTGCATCTGACCCACCATTAAGGTGCGTTTGCAGCTGTGATTCAATCCAAAACTACTTGCATTACTCTTTTTCTTATGATCTTGGGTATGAAATGTGTATACCCATTTAAAAGCGTTGCCCGTCTTCCACGTCTTGGCCACGTAGACATCTTCAGGGGAGCTCTGAGAGAACTCAAAAAACGGCATCCCATGTTTTTTTTCCAACTTGAGAGAGCCGTGTAGATGTACAGGTGAAGATGCAACAACATTATGATGATTATCATTACTCGGAAAATGAGAATCACAATCTGAGTTCATTGCTGCATTTGTGAAATCTTGCAACAAAGATTTTCTGTATGTCTTGTTTTTCTGCATGTCCATTGACTTAACAGCTTTATCCCCACCTGCTTCGATTGCATCACCGAAATGACTTCCGAAAGATTTAGATTTCATAAATGGATCCAACATTTTCCTGAATGGACTTATGTGAGCCTTTGGGGTGTATCTAAACCGTAGATCACTTCGAAGCTGGTTTTTAGGCGTTTCTATCTTAGCAGAGAGCGAGTTCGGCAATGCGTGTACCTTGTCTCTCTTGAAAAGTTTCTTGCCATTGTGAAGGGGCCCGATGCCTGTAACATTTTCAAGATGATTGCTTGAGTCTTTCAATGCAGTTTCACTGATCTCAGAACCCAAGTAGATATCAATGAAGCTATCCGATGAACGTGGGCATATGCAAGCCTTATTAACTGATGATTGATTCAGTTTTGTGTCCAAAGATTCCTCATCTGAACTACACAAAGAGTCAACAATACCAGCAACCCAAGAGGTGTAATTGTCATGTGAAATTTCTATTTTTCCTCTTTCCTCTTGAATGCTCATCCCTTCTATGTTACTTACATCTTCAGACCTCTCGTGCTTAGAACGCTGCTCGAGCACTTCATCATCTTCCAATTCAACTAGGCCAGGTGAATTGCTTTTATGAGAACTGTGATCACAGCCAACTCTAATCTCTGTAAAATCATTCTTCACATTCAATTCAAATTCTATATGTTCATTGTCTTCCAGTTCAACTAGGCTAGATGAATTGCTTTTTCGAAACCCGCGGTCGCCACAAAATCTAATCTCAGTAAAACCATCCTTTACATTCAACATAAAATCTTCATGGTTAAGTTTTTTTCTCGAGCTTCTTTCTTTAATGCTCGAATGCCGTGGAATCGATGGAAGAACAGTGTTGGGACTCAGATCCACAGTGCAAAGGCTGTCAAAGTCCAATTCTGGCTCTTGTCCCATTATGTAATCCACAGCTCTGCCAGAAAAAAGACACTAAGTTTTGAGCAAAATTCTAAGAAATTTACAGAATAATTCTAGCTACAAAAAAGAAAAGGGAAAAAATTGTAACTCAACATAGACTTAAGTTGTTGTCATCATTACAAACACTACAAAGACTTAAATTCATGTCCTCCTGAATCTAGTACAAGACAGAAGTAAAACCAAAGCTCAGAAACCAGATCTTAATAAAAGCTCAAACTGAACAAAAAGAAGCAGAACAGAATCTTTGAACTTCCAAGAAGAAGAAAAAGACTTGATTTCAGAAGCTGAGACCATCTCTACAGCAATTTAATGCTTCAAAGCACAAACAAGCAACAGGTTTCAAAAGAAAAAAAACAAAAAAAGTTCAAAATGTGAGGTCAGGGAGCAAAAGTCATTTCTTCAAACACATTGCAGTATACATTGAAGAAACCCCAGAACAAGGAACAGAAGAATTCAATTGAAAATTTAAGCTTACCCCACCAGATCTTAGAAGAGTGAAGGCAGAGAAAACCCCAAAAAACAACAGGAAGAAGCAATCATGTCGACCAATCTCTTCAGCTGAAAGCTTCAATAGAATCCATGGCAGAATGGGAAACCCCCAGATTAAGAGACGATGAAAACATACAACGATCAGAAGAGCTTGGGCAACGATCTTAATGCATAACGAGCAGAAAGCATGCGTTTAGAGAGAGAGCGAGAGGGAAAATGAGAGAAATAAAATAAGAAAGTATTAATGGGAGAGACAAGATAACTGCAAAACTCTTGTTCATGTCTACTTAAAAGGACCCACTCATCATGCTTCCTTTCTCTTCTTCCTTATTTCTCATGCACTATTATTATTTTATTTATAATAAATATTATCAATTCGGCTAATTATTTAATTTTCCCATAAGTTCAATTCATGATGTAACAATAATTTCACATATTAATGATATTCACGTAATAATAAATAAATAAGTATTTTTTTTATAATTTAATATTTTAATTACATGAACAAATAATTCTCAATAAATTAGTAATAAGAAGGATTAATGGTGTGCATCAAATAATTCTAACCTAGTTCAATAAAGCTACTAGTATGTGCCATGGTCGAAAAAATAAATTATACCCTTGGTATGACATGTATACCCATTGGTAATAGCACTCTCACTGGA